AATTCACTTCTTTGAAATTCTATATGCAATCTTGCCTGTTTTGAAATGACTTGGAAGATTTTGTGTTTTGGAATCGAAAGAGTACACGGCCATTTTCCACGCAAAAAGGAATGTAATGTTGCGACCAAGGTTATGAAAAATATTCAATTTAATCCTTACGTCACAATCTGATTCGTAGCAAAAGTAATTTCTGACTCTTGTCGCCGTAGTACATGAAAACTTGAAAACTCGTCAGGTCAAATTGTCTTCGCTCAATCAGATTTTGCTTACTGTGAAGCGCTTTGAGAGATAACGTTGAAAATTGTAATGAGCAGCGCTCTTCATAAACGACCCATCATGCATCGCCTCGTCCTTTTTTTTTCGTGTTAAGCGGGTGAAAGTTGTGTCTTTACACACGATTAAGTCACTTCTTCCCTAGTCGACGCCAACTTTTTTCTGTTGGGTTCTTTATTTCCTTCGGTTTCATTTTTTTGAGTTGAAGCGCCTACGCTCCAAACATGGAGTCTGCTCTTTTCATCGTCTTGATCTTACATTGTTCAGTACCTAATGGTTAAAACAAGTACGGTAATAGCCTCGTTTATGTTACAACCTTGCTGTCTAACGTGGCTTTATTTCCCTTCACATTCATGTACACTACCTTAGAATTTGTATGAAAAACGGCCTCAGATGATGCGGGCCACAAGACGCCGGTCTACTGATTAGCCTGAATGACTCACATGGTTATTGACCCTTCTTCAGTATGGCAGAAAAACAACATTTACTTTTCTAATCTTACGTTAAAGTCGTATATTATTTTCAGCTTATAATTGTCAATTTGCAAAGCACTCTTTTGGTGGTGCAGAGGGGTCCATTGTAAGTTAACTAAGTTTCAATATCTTGCCTTGAGTATTTATGAATAGCTCTCCCCTTATCTCTCTTTATACACCCTTATGGCAATCTATTTCTTGCTATGATGGATTTGTTAGTCCGCGAAATTTATTTTGTAATTTACCGGTAGTCGCCATTGTGGACTAACACAATTGCAAGTCAATGAAGGAAAGCAGTAGCCTTTTCGGTCACTTCACCATTCATCTGTTAGCAAGGAGTTCACGCACTGTAGATTTGTAAACGCAAAACGGTGCAACCAAATTATTTTTCTTTTTTTGATGTCGAACATGTCTTAAAATGCCCGGGTAAATGTGATATAAAATTAAGAAGCTTCCAAAAATAAGGGAGACTAATCCTCTTTTGAAAAATCCCCGTTTGGTTTAAAGATCGTGGCTTGATTTGTCATCTGCTTCCTGTATTTATCTTTCATCTTTCTTTTAGACACTTGAAATCCTGTGGCGAGTTAAATGGCGAGTGCACGCGGAAATCAAAGCTGGTTACCTTGGATAGAAAACTAACGGACTTTTCCTTGAATTTTTTTTTACCATTAGAGAGTTCTCCCATGAGGTCGAAATTCTAATCGTGTCGTACGTCAGTGAATCCGTCGTTGTTGTTTAACACTATTTTGGGCAGGAGTCCAAAGTAATGACTTCTTTAATAGATTTCGTTGTACGCCTCGATGGTATTGATTTAAATGAAACATATCACATGCTCTTAAGCCAGCACTGCAGTATCTTATCCACGAAATAAAAAGGCGGAAATGTTGAAGGAAAAAGACAATGCGAGAGCCGTAGGGTGGAAACTAAGTAGATGCGCACCACGAATGTAATTTGCTCTAGTTTATTTCTTTACTCACTTATAGTCCTCTCTTGTATGATTACCCTTAACCCAATTTTTTGCTCTATCTACTGAGGTTATAACGTCCACTTAGGACCATCGTACAAAGATTGAAAAGCTGAGTTTCGAGCACTAAGCGATTGATTCCTGAGACCTCCCATTACAGCAAAATTAACCTGGGTAAGGCACGATTTTTCTTGCCCCTCCTTGCCGGTTTCCCATTCAAGATATATCGACGTCAAACCTCAAGGTTACATTTAGATTCATATATGTTGACAAAAGTTGTGTGAACATGGAGTGCGACCTTTTGAATTTAAGCCACCATAGCCTGACGAAGGGATATCATAGCCCTGACGATGGGCTACCCATCGAGACGTCAACTCTCTTCTAGCTTTTTTTCTTACCGGATGACCATTGACTTTATCGACTCGGTTAACGAAGCGAAATCTTTGCGTTTCACTTCTCCACCAAACATACTTTTTTTGAAAAAAAAAAAAATAATAATAATAATAATGAATAACCCCTTCATTCCTAAGTAAAATACACTAAGTGACCACAGCAACTTTTACGTATTTTAAGGCTTGACCATAAACGTTGTCTATTCTGCGGCAAAAAAAGTTGTCTGCGGTTGAAGAATCCTTTTAAGTAATGTTCTAATGCAGTAACCCCTCGTCGTCGTATAGGCGACAAAATCTTATGGCCGTTTCTCAAATTCCTATTTGGCGCAATTTTTTTGGGAGACTATGGTTGCCCAAGTCCGAAAGGTCGCACTCCATGTTCTCACAATTTTTTTTTCCAACTTATCAACTTAAATACAACCTTGCGGTTCATGTTAATATCTTGAAAGAAGAAGCCAGTTAGGAGAGCCAAGAAAAATATAGTCCCCTATGACTTACTGAAGTTGATTTTCCTGTAATTGTGAGGTCTTGAGACAGAAAACAATCGCTTAGAAACTTTCTGGAGGATTAAAGTATATCATTGTTTCTGCATTGCCACGTGACGAGAAGCAAAACAGACAAAAGCCTCTAAGGCTCTCTGCAAAAATCAAAATAAAGTAGGAATGGCAAGTTTGTGTTTATAACCGGTTGCTTGCTTGTTAAGTTTCGTCGTTTCTTTATATATTCACTGACGCACGTCCTATCCTCCCTTGTGAATGCGTACTGTTCTTTAGGGCCAATGTTTATCTTCATTAAAGAAGAACTCTTGGCCGCCCATCCTTTTTTGCGGCTCGTATTTTCAAATTTGAATTTAGGGAATTGTTAAGTCACGTCTAGTTCACACGATTAGGTACAGCCGCCCAATTCAGCAAACTTGTCCCTTATTGTCTATATTCGAAAGTCATAACACGAGAGCCCATTCCCCATCCCTGAGGCTAGCAGAACACGCGTTATCTAGATTTAAGTTAATCAAAGTCAGTAACAAAAAGCTGAAAGAATGAATTCCAGATTCACGGCAAATATCAGTAAACAACTTCCATGACAACAAAGCATGTTAAAACCATGTTTAACTAAGGATCTTTTAAGGGTGTACGTTTTTGTTTGAAAGGTGAATAGATAATCGCAATCGCTTGACCCAATTCAATGTAGTATTCTCCGACTAAATGCTCCATCACTGTTTTGCAATATCTAAAGCGCGCTCTTGTGATCAGTTAAACGGCAAAATTCTGACTGCAGACAGATCACTTCTTTGCAGTGGTCGATGGCGCCTGATAAGGTGCTCTAATATTTCCTTCTCGAACGTTTCATCCCTCTTCAAATCCCTGTCAGTGTGAAAAACAAATTTGCCTCCCAACACCCATCAAAACTATCGTTATAACATGTCAAAAGGCAGTCTTTGTAGCTGGCATTCTTGAAGCTTGGAACCTTTTAACAAAAGGTGAATGGGAAGAGCTTTTGTTTTCTTCAATGAAACGCGCAGGGTATTTCCGTTCCCATTGAGCTAGACCTCCCTGTTCAATGTGCTTCGTGTATTTTTCTTACAAAACGGACAACGCTAAGTATTTTTTGACCAAAGAATAACAAAACTGTTTTGTGTTTCCTGAGAAAAACAAAAAAAATAATCCGGCGTACGACTTTGTATACTCTACTCTTCGTTAATGTTTTTCTTTTCTCAAAACGTTTCGTTTTGATTCTCGTTATTTTGAGATGAGTTGCTTAAGATGGTTCACATTAAATACGATCCATGCGTATTGTTTCTCGTATTTGTTCAGTTGTTTTCTAGAATAGAACAGCCTGTTCTTAAACTGATTGACATCATCTTGCTAGAAGATTAAAAATCATTTCCTTGCTCTTAAGAAAAGGCAAACTCGACATGAAACAAATGAAAATATGTAATTGCGTACTGATACAGTAGCTCTAAGCAGCAAGATTGACTAAAGAGTAGCTATAAATAATTTTGAAGGACAAAGGTTTCTCATAACGTATTGCATGTGAATTACACTTTTCTTTTGAGTGAATAAAGAGGTAATCGAGAAGGAGTCATTTCCCAAAAATTCATTCAATCAGATAGATTTTAAAAATTCACATCAAAGGACCCCAAGCATCAGAAGAGTATTGCATCCGTGCATCAAGCGTCTAGCGAAATGACGTAAAGTACCTTTCAGAGTTTTTAGAATTGGGCATGGCAATTTAGAACTAAGGTGCAAAACTAATTCATTTTTTGTAGAAGTCTCAGCGCTCGATCTGAAGTTGGTTGGATGCTTTGACATTTTCTTTGTAAGGTGCGCACAGTCATAATAAAAAACAGTATCGAATTGTGAGTCGCATGAAAGGGAATTCATTCGCAAATAGTAGATCCAAATCTAAATTGCTCATTTCTACCCTGTTTAAAATGAAAGAAATAAACCGAAGAGTTCAGAGAGCCTGAAATCAAGCCAAAATCACTCAGTGTTTGAGAAGTTCAAGTTTTGACGAGAAATTGTTTGAGTACGTTTGATTGTAATGTAATTACAATTTCAGTGAAGTAATCTGTGAGAAGATGCGATTGGAGTTGTAACTGACTACAGCATTATACTCGCTCCACACCGCAGGGACTTCACATGGATATTCTCAATCTGTTCATTATTATTGTTATGTATCAAGCCAGGACGCCTAACTATTGATAGAATGTCTAGCAGTGCTACTGTGTAAAACCTACAGCTCATTATTTTATATACAGACATGTCTGTTGCTTCTACAAGATCAGTCGTGGTATTATAATGTAACAGCATTATTCTCGCCTTTACTCGTTACCGGAATAACTGACCTTTCACAGAAAAAAGTTTTAAAACCTAGAATTTACCTATAAGTTCCCTTCATCTAACATGAATACCAGTTCGTGCTGACTTCGCGTTCACTACGTTCACTGGTCGTACTCGCACTGCAGGATTGGCTGTTGGAAGAGCTGATCGAGTGACGAAGATGTTCCGGTGGTGAAGGAGTACTCAGACGACTTCTATCCAGACTACTAGATTCGTGTAGCGGCGGCGGGGAAGGCGAGATTCCATGAAGCTTCATATGCTTCCGAAGCGAACTTGGGTGAGTGTAGCTTTTGTTGCAGCCCTGGTACTTGCAGTTATATGGCTTATCTGATGTATGGACATGAGAATGCTTTTTTCTATCGCTTGAATTGGCGAAGCGGCGATCACAGCCCGGAAATTCGCAAACGAAGGGTTTTTCACCAGTATGAGTTCGTTTGTGAATTTTTAAGTTCTCAGACCTAGCGAAAAGTTTTCCACACGCGGGAAAAGGACATGGGAATGGCTTTTCTCCTGTGTGAACGCGAATGTGGTTCACCAGCTTGTACTTTGCTTTAAAGGGAAGTCCGTTACGTCCACAGTTTCTCCAAAAGCACACGTGCAATGGGGAATCGTTCTGGCTAACGTGTTCATCATTTAGGTGTCTAACTATCTCGTGGATACTAGTGTATTGCTTCCCACAGATCTTGTTCTTCGGATAGTTCTGGGGATCAATCCATTCACAGGTCATGATTTTGTTTGGGGGCTGACTCATAAATTGAGGGAAGTGCATTTGTGCGTAATTAAGAGAACGATGATGTTCATAACTGTAGGGCGACTGCGAGTACATATCCATCCGCGAGTAAACATCTGCGCTTGGCGTTGGAAATGGAAAAGCTGGCCTTTGTGGCGCTTCAGGATCGGGAGGGCCATTCATCGACGGATAAAAATTGTGTCGCTTTATATCTGGTCTTGCTTGATGCAGTGCCAGAGGACTGAAGTTAGAGTGGATCGAAGGTCCCTGACAAGGGGGATATCGTCCTGTTCCCGGTGCCACAGGCTCGTATAACGAATGCCCATGGCCATGGGCAAGAGTGTTCGAGCTTTGCAGATGGTCTTGACGATGGAGGTAATCTCGGCTATTGAGGTTTTGAGCGGCACACGCTGCCCTGACCTGACTGGTGTGAGGCGTAAACGCCGGATAGCCACCGGTTTGTGAGCTAAACACTGCCTTGGTGTCTGCCATGGGTTCGGGAAATCTGTGGGCCAGGTTGAAAGCCGTTCGAGAGATCATACTGGGGCTTGAGTCCACAAAAGGACTTCCAACATACGGTGAATCTTTACCGGGCTCGATGAAGTCAGCCACGGTCGGATGGCTAACAGAAGCGCTTTGGCTAAACAGTGAAAGATTGTCCATAACAGCTAAGCCGGGTTAGAGTCTCCTGTGATCCTAGAGCAAATATACCATGTATTTGTTTTTAGGCACCAATGGTTTCGTTGACGAGATTATCCACCGGAGTAGATTGACGATAAATGATTATTTGCCCAACGCCGTTGACTGGGCTGTCTGCATCTGTGTTTTTGAGTTCAGTCACAGCTTGATGCTTACTTTATCAATCGATTGGTCCTTGCATAATTTGTTTTCGACACAGCATTACGAACCAATCATTCAACAGACAGGCTTTTTACACGCATGCTCCGTCAGTGATCCAGCAGGCGTCAGTTGTCGTAAGTGACTGCTGTGGTCAGGACTAGTTTTGTTGATGTCCGGCTATTGCTTTCGAGCGGTTCAGCCCAACGCAAAACACATCAAAAGATATTCTAAAATCCATTAGGATGAATTAGACTCGAGTTAGTGCTTTACCTTCTTTTAAAAGCAAACCACACAACGTCATTCGCAGTGGTGGCAGCACTTCCACGCGGGCATGTGGTGTATTGGGTTCATTGACAAGCGTTCTAGGGGGGCACTAAACCTTTATTCTACCTCACCTCAGGTCATCTCATAATTCAGCTATATAAGATCATCAATTATCTTCCTGCTATTCCATTTTATATCTCTCTAAGCAGCTCTTTGATTTGTACTGTAAATCCCAAAGGCGTAAAATGTTAAGCGGATCAGGCTCCTGGATAACAGGATATCGATCTAATTCATTGCCATTGGTCTAAATTTTAACAAAAGGTCGACTGGTCCTTCATTTCTCTTTTTAATTACTAACAACTATCTTATGTTGTAGAAACCTAACGAACCTTGAATGTTTTTAAAATATACCATTTGCTGTTTGATAAGTCTGCAAACCTTCGATGGCAAGTGCTGACAGGCAAGTTAAAGTGACTAATTGGCGCGCCCCGCCCTCATTATGATCTTATCTCTAGTGTCACGAAAGATCGATTTAGCATTCGTCCTTCACGGACCGCGGCTTATTTTGAATTTAAAACATACTCGAGGTATCTTCAGTCACGGCGGGAAATGTTTGTACAAGGCTAAACTAACAACGAACATCAGTGTCAATTTTCTGTGTAAGATTGTGACGTGTATTTAAGGTTTTCAATCGTTCAACTTTTCTTCTCTCGGGCAACTCAAAGTGCAGTTCCTAAAGCCAAAGACATTTCAAGTACACTTAAAGAATATTTCCTATTTCCGCCATTGTTTGCTAAAATGGCTTTTAGTTTTGTTTTTGACTAAAAAACCTTCTTAAAAAAGAAGGCCTGTGAAATTGACCGTTATTTTGAATAGCTCACCGACTTTGTTGTTTCTAAACATACAAAACATACCAATTTACTCCTTATAAAGGTCAAGATTTTATTGCATTTTATGTAGTGAAAAGCCTAACGTAGGAATTCCTTGGGTAAATACATTTCTGCCCAATCTGCCAGCCATCTGTCCGTACTTTACAGTTCACTAAACATTAATACTTCCGGACATTTTTTCTTGCCAGACTCGGAGCTTCCGGCATGGTGGAAACGGCTGATTTTCCACAAAATAAAGTCAGTTCAAAAACTGTCGACTAAGCAATCTGGCTGACTTGCTTTCAAGCGGATAATGCGCTTTTATATGTCCTCGTTTGTTGTTTGCTTAATTACAATATCATCCTCGTGGAGTCCAGTCTTAGGTACTGTTGGTCTTCTGACAAAAGTAAATACCCAAAGGATAATCTCATTTCAGGATAAAATCCGCCGAGAGTTCTTATTTCGTGACGCTTGCCAAAAGTCGCATTCAGTGCACGGAAGCTTGCATTCCAAGCCTAGATATACACGACGAATGCACTTTCTTCCAGTTGGGTTTGGGACAATCACACTCGACTTTAAAGACTTTGAATCTCGTCTGCTAGTTCATTTGGTCAAATATGACGACAGAAACACCGCGGGAGCGCAGTGCTTTTTGATGGATTACTTACAATGGTAATCCTCAGTCTGATATTGAAATAGGCCGTCTAAGGTCGTCTAAGCTTCCATCGCCAAGGGAATTACGTTAAGGGGAAATTCACCACTTTTTCTCTCAAAGCCAAATGTACCTATAACACTTATTTCGTGGGCTACTGTACACCCTGGTTGTAGTCAAGCTCCGTCAAGTTCGTGGTACAAGCCGATGAGCAAATTCAAGTTTATCTATAAACTTGTTCTGTGTACAGTTTTTCAATTAAAATTCTTATCGCACACCGCGGGTTGTTTAGCTGTTAAAAGGAATTAATGTTTTAAAGGAGATTAATACATTTGATGTTTTGATGTTGTGATAAAATAAACAGCGCGCACTCTACTTAGTCTGTTTGTTTCTGTGTGTTTCTTGGCGGTCTTTTTTGCGGTTGAGTCAGTTATTTTTGTTTTTGTCCAGCTGAAAACTTTACGTTATTAAGGCGTCAACGTATGTGCTTCGCTTTCATTATGGAAAGTAGAGTTAGCAATTATGAATGTAGTTCATTCTGACAGACAATACGTGACATCGACAGTTAGCGAGGCAAAATAATTACATGCTCCATTTCTCCCGCTTGTAAATTAGTTTGAAATGTTGCGCGTTCGTTTTAGGAAATCGATTAGCATCTCCTTCCAGTTACCATCTCTGCTCTTCGAATTTTAGCCCACTGCTGTAAGTTGAACATGACGAAGCGTCTAATCCCAGTTAAATAATGATTAAAGTATCGCAGGTGGTCTTAAAAATATAGTGGCACAATCATTGAGGGGTAGTGCATAGTCCCACTATAATTTCTTTTTAAAACCTCGCGAAAATTTACTCAGGGACAAACCATCTGATGAAAGTTAAAAATGGTGTACTTTTGCAGAAGAAAAAGTGCCTTGCCGCACATTGATAAAAGCTTATGTTTAACTGTTAAGTATCTTTCAGTATCCTGGAAGTAAGCTAAAGTAATCTGAATTGCCAGTATCCAGAGAATGTCGACTTTACGAGTTGTAAAGTTACAGTATTCCCGTTCATGGGCTCCTGTTTTGTTATCTTAGTGTGCCAATAAAAGCGTCTACAGAGACATGTGTATTGCCTTTTGAAACACAATGACCTTCAAGATATCTTACTCATAGATGTGCTGTAGTCATTAGCACGATTAGCATGTAAGGGGAATATAATTTGGGCTTTTTGATGCAAAACTCTATGTTGTTGTGACTATTGCTTTTTCGAATTAAAGGCTTTGTCGGGTTTCGAGTATCTGTATAAGGAGTACGTACGTGTGGTTACCCATTCACTTGCTGGATTCAAACTTCAGGTCTTAAGGCATGAATAAACACCAGCGCCAGCGTCATTTCGCTTGAAAAGCTACGGCCGCTGTTCTTTTTTCTTCAATAATTTTTGAAGTAATATTTCATTTTTTTTTTAACCTTTGATTCACAACCAGGCCAAAGGAGGGGTTTAAAGAAAGAAGGAATTGACGCCAAGGCCAAGCGCACTCTTGCGTTGCAGCTGGACAGGTGTGAGAAGCTTTGCTTTGCCGACTACTGCTGACTCGCGGTAGGTGACGTAACTTTACATTGAATCGGAAGGATAGGGGGTGGTGACTTGACTGAATATGTGGCCTTATAAGAATTCTTTGTCCATTTTTCTTTAGGATTTAACATCTCATTAGTAATATTAAACCTGCCTAACCTATAATTAAATCCATTAAAAAAGTTACCCTCTTTGTTCCATTTATCAGTTGTATCTTATTCCTTTATTTTCCGTCTTGCAACAAGTCCCTTTCAAAGGCTTTTTCTAACGCTCGATTATGACCCTTTGTGCGCTTGAAGACGTAATGATGCATTAACTATAGCGTCGAATGCGCTACAGCTATAATTAAATACTTGCCATTGGTTCATGGCAAGCATTTACGGCTAATTGGTGTCTTTAAGCAGCCCATTTTTTAAAAGAGTTAAAAAACAACTTTACTGACTTCTTCAAAGTCTCCGGATATTCTTTAAACTAGGTGTTTTGTGTCACCTGTATTGTGCCTCGTTAGTATGTAAATTGTCAAGGTCGGTTAACGTTTTTGATATAAACCAAGCAGCTCAGCATGTCATTATCAAGCAACGCGATGCCTTTGATCTTTGGATAAAAGCGATTGCTGTACTCACGGATCCATAAAGAGAAATTGAAATTGTTGATATTTTCGTGGATTTAAATTGTATTTCCTACTTTCAAACTCAGCAGGAGATTCAAACAAGTAGAATTTGTGTCACTCTTCGTTTACGTTGCGATTTCGATTACTGTCACGTTCAAGTCCGCTCGCGTTCTAGCTACAAAGATTGCAATTGACAAAATAGCAGTTAAACGGTAGTGTAACTTTGCGCACATCACGGAATGTTTTCCACAAAGAACCGAGTCGTTTACGTAATGTGCTGCAGGTAAAAGCGAAAAAAAAAAACGGTTTGTAAAGAGAGACTAAAAACGGTTAATTTAACTAACTTTACGTACTCTGTTTTTCACTTTTTCAATGCTTTTACCGTCTTGAACAAAGTAAGTTTCCGACAATAACTCTTCTCTGCCCTTTCATGTTTAAAACCCCAAGTCTCAAATTTGGGTGGGTTGGCCGCATTTAAGTGGCATCAACTTGGAGGGACGAAAACTTTTTCGGTCATTTTTTCAGGAGTGTTTCCCCTGTGTGTTCCAAAAAGACCTTTAAAAATTGTTTATGTTTTGTCGTTCTTGTCATCATTTACACGGCCAGGATGATCTTATTCGGATATAGCCCAACACCACCGGCCTGTGGTTGGGTTCTCTTATCCATGAAGTTACAGTGAAACCTCTATCAGTTAAAGGAGCCTTTCACTAAATTTATCAAAATTCAAACGGTAAGACCTGCCACCAAAGTGAGTGGAACATAAAATAACTGCTCAAACCATTAACCTAAAAGCCCTAAGAGTGATTGGCATGAAATTTCTCCTTATCATATCAATGCTTTACAAAACAGAGTGGTCATGAGAACTGAGTACATGATCAGG